TTTTTTAATTTTAAGCTTTAACATGATATCACCTAAAATGTTAAAACTGCTGATTTTAAAATTTACTTATTTATATTCATGAATAGGCCATATATTCCCAAAGCTTTTTTTTTCTTACAGCAGCTTAACAATGGCCCCTGTCACTTAATATGCAATTATCCAATAAACCATTTAGGTGTCACCTTCCCTGGCCAGCCTGGTCATATGGTCTAGTGCACTAGAAGTGCACACGGTGTGCACTTCTATTTCAGCTCTAGTGCACTGGAAGTGCACAAGGGTTGGAAGTTTAGTGTTAACTCAACTGTATGTCTGTTAAGGATTCACTTACGATAACTGTAAGTGCTAAACAAAATAGAGAGGATAAATAAATTTAATACATGTACTTGTATTTTTTGTGTATCTATATTACTACTTCAAGATAAGATTGAATGTTTAGGTTGCATATCATCACTTTTATTGTCAAATTAGGTGAATATAATAATGTAATAATAACCACAAACGATTAGTAACTAGTTAGTAATTCGTTTACATTGGCCTTTACATTGGCCTTTGACAATAGTAAAGTTATAATCATGTCCATTTCTAGGTGCATGTAAGTGCACTTTATTTCAATTTAAAGTGCAATGTATTTTTGGTTGGTATAATTTGTATTGTTTACATATATTTAATGTTTCAAATACAAAATAGGTTATAGTGCCGTCATTATATTTCATAAAATTATTTCAAAGTATATTATTGAAATTAATATAAAAGCGTTTGTAAAAATGTCTTTGGCAACATCTTTTGTGTTTATTGATATTGAAAGCAATTTTAACTACTGTTATCTACAACTAACACTTTCACATTAACGATAATCAAAATAGATCAAAGATAATTGCTTTAAAAAAACAATCTAAAACGTATCATTAAATTCCAATTGAGATCAGGAAATAGGGTACAAGTTATGTCACCATGTACCCATTTATTTAGATAAAGACATTCAGAAAAATGTGTCGATGGCAATAACTTCAATTAACACTTAAGTAGTGCAGACGACACAAGAAACTGATTTTGGATTGCTTCTTTTCTTTATTCATGTAATACAAATTTACTTTATGTAAAGGTCGAAATTTCTTCTAGGATGAGATATGGCTGAGTGCCACCTAAGGCTTTCTTCTACCAGTAAAGCTGGAAAGTCGCTTCATATGACCTTTACAATGTCGGTGTAACTGTAAGTATACACTTTGAAAGTAAAACAGGCTTTTTACAACTTTTACTGACAACTTCTTGTCTTCTTTTTGGAAATTACCAGTGGTGATGTCATATTAGGAAACATATCGTGGCCTGAGTAGGGCTCGAACAACCGATCCTTGTTTTGAAGAGCAGACACCTAAATTACTAAGCAATCACTATACACATAAGCTCTCCGTTGTATAATGTTTATGCCCCCACAAAGTGGGGAGCATATACCGTTGCACATGTCCGTCCGTCCGTACGTCTGTCCGTACGTCCCGAAATCTTTTGAACGCACGTCCTCTCAAACCGGATAACAGATTTTGCTTATACTTCCAGGGATGAACAACCTTAATGTGTAGATGGTATTCAAGGAAGGAATTTTTGCTGCGACAAAATTTAACAGAATAACGGTCCTCTGTTGATTTTTTCATTATATACCATATAGAAATTTTTGAACGCAACTCCTCTTAAACCGGATGGCAGATTTTGCTTAAACTTTTAGGGATGAACAACCTTAATGTGTAGATGGAAGTAAAGGAAGGAATTTTTGCTGCGACCAAATTTGATAGAATTACGGCCCTTTGTTGTTGATTTTTTCTCTATATACCATATAGAAATTTTGTGAACGCAACTCCTCTTAAACCGGATGGCAGATTTTAATAAAAAGTTCCACCTAAAAATCTTATATACTCTTGTTTACGAGCACATCTGCACAGTGGGGGCATCCGTGTCCTTTGGATACAGTTCTAGTTTTCTTCTTATAAAAACTCCAATATTGTCAAAACTGGAATTGGTATTTCCCTTCATTCCTCTCGATTGTATATCCCTTTTATTTTGTATGAATCTATTTATTTTCACATCTTGAAATGTTTAAGTTTGCGTAATAAAATGCATACAAATAGCGTAAAGTCTCATGCAGAGATCGTTAATCTTACAAAATCTTAACCAATGAACTTGTTACCATAATCTGCTTTACAGCAAGAACAGTGCTTTATTCTAGAAAAATCGCTTATATAGTTTTTCGTCTTGATTAATGTCACTTCTGACACTTTACTAAAAATGATTCCTAAATAAAAGAAATAAATCTGGAACAATGTCGGTTTCAAAGACAGCTTTATGTTGTTTTTTAAAATGTGACATAGAATTTCAATATCATAATAAATTTTCCTAAAGTAAGAGGTTTTTAGTCAAGAACATCATTGAAATACCAAGTCAGATTGTCGTGACATAATTTTGAAATTTTGACATGTTTAAAACAAACATTTTTTTCTTGTAAAGCAAACGACAAAAATAATGTACAACAACAAAGTAAAAACATTATAAGCACAAAATAAATAAATAAATAAATAAATATTATTTTGTTAATGTTTTTTCCCTTTCTTCAACTATACTTTGAATACAGGTCACGTTTCAATTCCAAACCTGTCGCTTGCTTTTTCCTCATGATGGTCTTTCCTTGAGAAACAATCAGCAAAAAGGCAAATAGAAATAATTTTCTTACAATTTTACATCTCTTTGGATCTAAAAATGTAATTATAATGTCTGGTTTAAAATTTACATATTGAATTGTAATAGAATTAAAATAATCTTATACATTCTATCATTGCTTTAAGAGGATACATGTACTTTGATCACGACAGACATTTAAAATGTCAAATTGAAAAAAAAACAACCCAAAAAACAAATAAACTCACACACACACAAAACCCACAAAACAAACAACGACGACGACGACAACAACAACAACAATAACAACCATCTAAAAAAAACAACACACTTCAATTTTGTCGTAAGCAAACAGATTTTAAATGTCCAAAATTCATCTTTGTCCTCGATTAAATGCTTTCTGTATCTTGCCATGTATATGTATTAATGTCAAATTTAAATTTGGGACACGAATATGGAATGTACGGAGGCCAAAATGTGTTACCATAAATTTTAAATATTACGTTATAGCAGTAAAAGGTTAATATATAAGGTGAAATTATACATGTATATGTTCGAGAAAAAAAGCATTTTTTCAACAACTATTCCATATACAAGTACATATGATACATACTTGTGAGACATAAGCAAATATTGACATTGATCTGATCTGATGTTGTTTAACGAAAAACAACAATAACACTATGGACATTGTTATATAAACATTTTAAATGAAATTTTTCCAATAGTAAACATTTATAACAATCATTATACACAGCGAGTGCATCAATTGGCATTGGGAGAAGAGTGTTATTTGTCGACATTTAACTAAGATGAATTACAGACAGCGATTATACGGCTTTTTATCAATTCGATATGTTGCAGCTGTCATTCAACAGAGCTTTGAATATCTCTATTATGAGCATTCAGACAAAGTTTAACATATCAATATTTGATAGGAATCAATATTCTTTTTTACTTAGGATTCCAATGAATTTTAAACACTGGACGGTGAATTCATATTTATGTATCAGAATAGAGATATTGTTGTGCAAAATCTGGAACAATGTGTTCCTTTGGGAATTTTATATGTGCAATATAAATAAATTACAATTAAAGATTTGGTTCCATCAAGTCAGTTTAAGGGAGTCTTAACGGGGTGTAACAAGGCTTTGTTAATTAAGACAAAAAGTTACGAATTTATGAAGAACGAAAACAAGTAAAACAATAAGATATATTCATAACATTTTACAACAACATGTTAAAATATATACAGTATCAGTAGATTGTCTGACACAATCTAATTAAATGCTATTAATGCTAAAGTTAGTAAAATTATTAAACATTTGATAAAGCAATTGAATCTAAAATTACCGAAATAAGATAAATACAGAATCCCTAAAGAAAGCCCAACACGGCAAAATTGAAAATGTTGCAGGCTCGGTTTGATTGAGCCTGTTCATGAACGGTATTGGAAAGTGCAAGTTACCGTCCACGCCCCCTAGCACCGGCTTAAGCAGAATTCAACATTTAAACATGAAATAGTAAAATTTTGAATTTAGAAACATCCGCAGATGTGTTCATACGGCGGTTATCATGGAACTTTCAATGTGACACTTTCGTGCCATTCCATGAAAAGCGGCGTATGGTCCCCAAGTAATAAAAAGCGTGTGCCCTAAACGAGAAAACAATGGGCAGAACTAAATAAAATGGAATTTTGAAAGGGGATCAGAGATTATGAAGCCTGCATATCACAGATAAGACGTCAAAAGACACATTTAAAAAGCAGGCCTCATATCCTAAGGGTGATTCAACATTATTCAAGTAGGAATATTGGAACCACCCAACTAGAAAATGCCGAAAAGTTGAAACTAAAAATACCACAAGCACAACAATAATGTCGTACTGAACGATCTTCAAGGATCGAAAATATAACATCATTGATTAAATGTACGGGGAGACATTTTACAGCCGCCACACGGCACAAATAACACGGATGTGATCATGAAATAAGATCACCGAAGCCTATTCTTTGTCTATTCACTTAGCAAAGACTATTTTTATCTAGTTGTTTAAATACCAGTCTTTAAACCGGTTAATTGTACAATTATTTTCGTCCTATCAAGCGGGTCAAACTAGCCTTTATACACCATAGAAACGTTTATATTTTTCTAAAAGCTCTGCAGTTGGGAGCAGAAGTCTTTTAGTACGCTCAGAAACAGCATTGTCTAGATTACATGTGTCAAAACTTGGCAAACCAGGGGCTCTGTTCCAATATTGAGATGAAAAGAACGGTATCAGCAGTTTATATTTCCTATCTTTAGCCGAATTCATGGTATGAAAAAGATGGGCAAATCTTTTTCATACCAATTAAGGTCGATGCAAAAACATCATTTTCTGTGCAAACCCCATCTGTACTTCGTCCGGATATTCGGCCTGGTCTAAATATTGCACCTCCTGGTAGTAAGTCTATGGCCTGCATGCAAAGACGATCGCTTTCCCATTTACTCCGGTTGTAACCACTTTCGATTACAGATGGGTCGTCTATGAACTCAGATTCTTTACAAACGTTTCTTTTACATTTGCTCATTGTTTCTTCCATTGGAAAAAGAAAAATGCCCAGTGATGAAGTTGCAAATAAATATTTTTGTTTACCTGTACATGCAAATCTAATGAATTCTTTGGTACCTTCAACATTTGTTCTTCTATGATCATCGTACGAGGTGTTAAAATCTACTTAAGCTGCATTCATAAATACAATGTCAATAGCTGTAGAAAGGTGCTCATAAATGTCAGACAAAATGCCAAGATTTTTCTGTGCAATATCAGAAACAACTACTGTCACACGGGAAATGTGTTTGGATTTCCAGAGGCCATATCTATTCATATTGATTATTATGCGATCAATGCCTTTCGTCTCAGTTGTTTCTCTGACTAAACAAAATACATGACAGTTCGATTGATCAAGGATTTCGGACAATAGAAAGGCTCCAAGAAAACCGGTCGCGCCAGAAAGAAGAATATTGTGTTGACTATTATATGTATGTACACATGTATTGTAGGGTAGACCTTTGACAGAGCTCACCCTTTTTTGTTTTTGAAAAAAGCTGGTATCGAGTTCAGAATCTTTCAAAATCGTTTCTTTTAATTCATTTCTATTTTTCAAATAGTCCTTCTCGTGTGTTTTTACAACATCACTATCCTGTTGTAGCATGTCTGCAAACTCCTGTATTATATCTATAGACTGCATTTCAGTAAACGAGAGTTTAACTTTTATTTCATCTTCGATCAATCTATGGAGAAGAACTAAATGTAAGGAATGACCTCCCAATTTACGGAATGAGCTTTGTCGGTTTAATGATTGCATGAAGGATTCGTTGTATTTGAAAACACGACACCACAACATTGCCACCGTTCGTTGCCTCTCGTTCAAGCTACTGTTTTCAAATGTTTGGTCATGGTTGTGTATGCTTTCGTCTTTCCTCAAGTCCCTTACGGTCAATTTTGCCATTTAATGTCCTCGGAAACTCATGTTCCTCTACTGTTCTTATGTAAGTCGGTATCATATACTGAGGCATTTTTCTATATAAGTATTCCCGAAGCTTGCAAAGATTGATACACTTGGGTGCAACAAATGCCACTGTTGATAATTCTCCTGTTAATGAACATTTATGGGCAACAACAGCAGTCATTTCAATATCGGAATGTTGAATGAGTATGTTCTCTATTCCACCCAAATGTAATGTTTTCATCAATATCTTGAAATGCATGGTCTCCTGTTTTGAAAAGAAGCATTGGTTCATTACCACAAACCGTTTCTTATTGAGGTGTTTAGCATGACCAATGTACCCATGTCAGAAGCCTTTTACCTCCTATGTATATTTCCCCGGTAACGCTTTGTGGAATGACTGCAAGTCCTCACCCAAAACAAACACTTTAACTCCATCAATGGCTTTACCTATTGGAAGTCCTTGATTAATGTATTTTGTAAGTTCATTATCCACTCTTTTATGAAAGTATTCGTACATTGTTGCACATACCGTCGTTTCGGTCGGACCATAAGCATTAAAGAATCGCCTTCGTTCAGAAGATGTCCATTTCATTGCAATGTTTAGTGGGCAAATTTCACCCGCAGCTATAACCTTCCTTAGTGTAGGAAAGTCTTCTTGAGAGTATTCACTCAGAGCCGAAGGTGGAAGAGTTATAACAGAAACTTTCAACTTATGAATATCCTCCAAAAAGCCTTTCCCAAGCTTTTCAGATGAGGATAGTTATGCTAAAGATGCGCCTGACAGAAGAGAAGTAAACATTTCAGATATCGATGCATCGAATCCGATGGATGCAAATTGGGCTACGACATCTTTAGGAGAAATGTCCAAGTATTTAATCTGAGCATATGCAAGATTGATTACTCCAGATTCTTTTACTTTAACACCTTTTGGTCGTCCGGTCGAACCAGAGGTGTACATAATATATATGAAGTCATTTTCTGCACATGTCATGTCATATATCTCTAGTCCTCTCTGGAAAGCACTCTCAAATTCAACCACAACAATTGTTTCGATTTCTATTTCATGTTCTGTAACTAGCTTCATTTTAGGCATGAACTTTTCCATGAACAAGTTATCAAAACATTCTTTAGTCGTTATCATTGCCATTGCTTTTGAATCAGTTAACATGAACACGATTTTTTCATTTGGTAAATCATAGGGAATCGGAAGAAAAGCCATCTTACTTTTTAATACTGCCAACAGAGATATGACATAAGAAACTGAGTTCGGGATCTGGATTGCAACGATAGATTTTTCCTGCTCTCCTCTGTGCGACCTTAGCAGTGATGATGTCAATAAAGAGTGCAATTTTTCTATTTCTGTTTCCATTTCACTATATGTCATAATGTATAATGATGATTTCAGTGCGATATAGTTGGGTGTCAGTCTACATTGACGTTCTATAATACTATAAATGCCTTCATTCTCAGATCCGCCGAACTGTTCCTCTGGATTCTGGTACATATTTACGTTTGTTTCTTGATAATCAAAAACCTTATCTTCAGATGAAATGCCTCTCTTTCTATCGCTCCCTGCAGTATTTATCAATAATTGTATTAGTATATTTACTTTAAATTTGAGATGAAGATCATTGGCTTATTAAACTATTTGATTCCATGAACAAAGTTAAATATGTCGCATTTTTAGCGGTTCTCATGAGTTCAATGATTTTAAAGAAGAAACCTGTAAATTTTCAATCCGCCAGAATTTCACCATTTGAAACAAGTAAAATTTACTTTGAATTTACAATATGAGAAAATCTTATAATATATGAATTTACTTACGTAAACGAATGAAAAGTATGTTACATGTTGACGTTTTGCTTGACATCTGGATTTCACCAGTCATTGTTATGAAAGTGTTTATATATAGATATATAATGTAATAAAACACATTGAAAAGCGCAAAGTGCACCTGATAATGAAACAGATCTTTTCGTTTGATGTGTCAATGTATTAATAATTTATTTACAAATCCCATAATGATACATAAACATATATATGAAGTGTTCTATTTAAGTAGCTAACGAATTGCCGACAAGTTTATATTTACAAAATTTATGTACAGATGTATGTAAATTACTTAATAGATTACATTTGATGTTAGTATGCATTTTCATTGAAAATATATTTGACGATCGCATTTCCTTTTTTTGCGCTTGTGAATAAGATAATATTAAATGTCAAGCACAGCATACTATATAACAACGATGAAAACACTTTGTATATATCAGAAGGTTTATTGACAATATTTCATAAACAATTGACCCTGAAAATAAATAAACTTTTATTTGAAATGCAGTTTAAATAAAATATTCGTTCTTTAATTCAAAACGGTCGAAAATTGTTTTCGTAATTTTCACGTTGCTGTCATTATTTCTCTCTTTAAATTATTTACGAAACATGTTTATGAAGTACAAAAACGAAAAATATACGAAAATTCATTGATATTACCAATAACCACCCTTCACCCCCTCAAACATTTATATAATTGCATGTATCAAATTAAGTTTACCTACATTCGTTTATCATTACATTGAAATTATTTTTTAACCATTTAACATAAACATATATAACAAACAATCATATCTTGAACTCAAGTTTCTTGTATTATAATACGTTACTCAAGTTTAGGTTAACATATTGCATCAGAAATGTATCGCAATAGAAAACGTCAACTTTAAATTGATATCTGTACGTTTATTTAAAACAATTCTCTATCTGTATTACAGAAGCAGAAGCGTCAATATGATGGTTGAAAACAATGTCTTAGACAAAGTATTCTGGACTGGAAAACTATTGGAAACCATGTAAATTGATTTTGAAGTAGCCACATGTGCTCATATTGTGTAACGGAGTTGCAACTTTTACGATTTAATTACGGACAAACATGAACGGGTTTAAACGGCAATATTGCTGTAATACACTAAGCCTACATGGTCATTCTGTTTTGTAATTAGTACTCGAAACGAACGTAAGCGATTGCCGAACTTCGCACTGTTTTGCGTATGTTAATTGCGTTTAAAGCAGTTCTTACAATGTCTGATACATTTGCAGTGCAATCAATATAAATAATGGCCGTTTTTTTCAGTAGAAAATGTTTTCATGGATGTAAGGATAATTAACAGCTATTAACATGCTTAATATTGGATTTATGCATAGTTCGGTGAACACAGAGCACAGGTACATTGAGATGATTAAAGAAGGAAAAGAGCAGACGTTGAAGACAAAGACTTTCCATTAAAGTAGCTTCTTGGCATCGTCATGTGATGTGAACAGCCTTAATGGTCGAAATATAATGAATGACAGAAACGTGTTGAGTTTTTTTTTATATCCGACAAGTTAAGAGCGGTTAAAGTGACGATTTGTATGCACTTTGGACGTATTCAGACCGTAGTAAACCGTCTGCGAATGAGTTGGTCGTATTACAAAGTAGTTCGAACGGAATTTTAAGTGACCGGAATCATTTTGGTGATAGTTTAAGAGCAAAATAGAGGACATATTATTTATTCAAATATAACCTAATATAAAAGCAAAGTATTTAATATGTAAGACTTTTTAATTATTCAATAGATTGCAAGACAAATGATGTTAGGAGACCATTTACTTAACATTGTTATATTCCAAAATAACACCACAACATAATGTCACTATGTCGCCGGGGTGGCTATTACATCTTGATTTTATCTTAATCAGAGGTTATCTAAATCCCTAGTTGACTTAAGAACAACAAGAAAATCGAAAACGACACTTACATCAAAGAATTTTCATCTTATTTTATAGATATACTTTTTTGTTGTTTTACAACAATATTTTTTTTTCTTCCTTTAGAGGGAGAAAACAAGAGTTTTTGATGTTTAAATAATTGTTTTAGACATGTAAAATGCTTGCTACTTTGAAAATTCTTCGTGAAAGTAGCAAAATGCTAACTTTTGAATTCCATGCACAATTCTAAGTTAGTGTTGTTTTATTTTTTGCCAAGCAAAAGATTGGTCAAGAAACTGAACAGTAAAAACTTGTTTTTGAAATTTTACCAGGGCACGAAAAAAAGATAAAATGAAAATAAACTATTCAAGTAATCAAGTCTCCTCACATATGTAGGAATAATCAAGGCGCAACATATAAGTGGGAATAATCAAGGCGCAACCTAAAGGTGGAAATATTCAAGGCGTAACATATAGGTGGGAATAATCAAGGCTTCACACATAGGTGGGAACAATCAAAGCACCACCTGTAGGTGGTACTAATAAATGTGGGAATAATCAAGGGTTCAAATTTAGGTTTAAATAATCAAGACTTTACTCATAGGTGGGAATAATCAAGGCTCCACACATACGCGGGAATAATCAAGGCTTCTAACATATGTTAGTATAAGCAATATGAGACTCCCTCATAATGCTAGGGGGCGTGGACGGTAACTTGCACTTTCCATTACCGTCCATGAACAGGCTCAATCAAACCGAGCCTGCAACATTTTCAATTTTGCCGTGTTGGGCTTTCTTTAGGGATTCTGTATTTATCTATTTTATAGGAACTTATTGGGGTCGTATTGTAGATAACTTCCGATTACAGTTACAAGTTTTAACTAGACCTGTCCTTTCAAGACTTATAAGGACGTGTTTCGAACTTTTTAGAACTAGTTACGTGTGACACTAGCATAATACAGAGCATAGCATCAGTCAAAGTGTAGAAGTATGTTAAAGTGATTAATTCGTGATAATGAGATTCCTATGTCTTAAAAACGAAACAGTTTTATTTCATTCCAGCAAACATTACAAGCTTTCCGTTTCTAAGATATCAACATAAAAACGTGTTCAAAGTATTCTATTCAAGTTTATGAGTGACACAAGAAATAGGTTAATCTATTTATTTTATTGATATGAATTAAACAAACATGTTTAACTACTCATTGTAACTAGTATCAATTATATCTACGGAAGTGATAAAGTAACTTACGAAGCAATGCTTTTAGAATTAATTTAAAATTTCCGTGAAGAAAGGGAATAATAATATAAAATTGTTCTACAATAATTTAATCTTTTGTCAGTTTTACCCTAGATCAGTGAAATAAAGCAGTCACAAGACTAATAATGTAATTACTTTTTATTGTATGTTAACCTTTGAAATTCAGATATGAACTAGAAACAATCTTTGTGCATTTCTAACAATATATATCATACTATTTCCTGATTTTTAAATCAATTTATAGACATCATTGAACATAATTGCTAACTCTTGAAAACATTACAGTTAATGCTATATGTCAACGAATTCAAAACGTTTTTTTCTGGTATACATGCTATAGATGAGTGATGAATATATCATGCAATTCAGTTTATTTTTCTTTTAATGTCATTATTAATTGATTAAATAACAATTTAACTAGATGTAAGTATTATAAACGTACCAGATTGCAACTAATTTGTTAATATTTTTAAAGGGGCCAAATGATCTGACATAGACATTGTTCATTAAAAGGAACGTAATGTTCAATGTTCGTGCCAAAAATTGTCATGTCACTTCACATTATATATAAATACATTAATTGAGCTACCAGAATTTCATGAACTATTGTACTTATCTCGTATTGAATATTATGACGTGCGTTATATTAATCTTATCTGAAACAAGAAATATCTTTAAAAAAAGATACATGGCCGAAGAAATATGTTTAAATTGCATACGTTAGTTCTTAGTTTTCAATGCAAAGACGTATAGAAATGCTAATATAGCTTGCATAACAATTGCATAATAATTTCTTGTAGGGTTATGGAACATTTTAAGATGTACACGAGTAAGTAATAATTCACATTTGGTTCATATTATACAATTATTCTTGCAATGGGATTATAACTGGTTTTGTTTTCTTTAAACGGGCTTGGTCTCATGTTGTGTTTTATTTTTCAATTGCTGCAACCAACATCACTTAATATTGTTTTGCACACGTGTACGACGAACCTCTTTTTGCTGTTAAACTTTAATACTTTGTGTCACCTTAAATTATTTAGGTCAGAATGTTTCAACAGTATATAGTTGTATGGTAATCTTTGTAGATATTACTTTAGTTAAATCATATAAGTGATTCTTCAAGAACTTTTTAGTAAAGATACGGTGTTAAAATTTATTTTTATTTGCTGGAACTGAATGAATCTTATTCAGTTTTGAATATCTTCTACAGAAGACACAGAAGGTAAACACTTTTAAGCAGCAACAGGCTTACAACTAGAGCTCTATAATTCAAATAATATGCAAGATGCTTTCAATTTAGATTAAATAGAGAGAGAAATTAATCCACAAGCCATTTTTTCTACAGATTTGTACGTAAGTACATAAAAAGCATATTATTCCAATTTCGATAATGCATTTAGGAAAATGGAGAATCAAAAGCCATCTGACATAAATTGCAAGATGAGAAACGGTTAATAACGCATTATGATAACCAACCATTTGAATAAATATCACATGTACTGTACTGCAGGTACAATGCTTGAAATGACATTCTGGACAAACAGTTAAAGTGA